GTATGTATATATGTGTGTGTATGTATATATGTATGTATGTGTATGTGTGTGTGTGTGTGTGTGTGTGTGTATGTATGTATGTATGTGTGTGTGTGTGTGTATGTGTGTATGTGTGTGTGTGTGTGTGTGTGTGTATATATATATATATCTATCACCCAGGAATGTCTTAAAACATCAAATGCTTGGGCCGCTGTCTAGAGACTGCAGAGTGATTCCATCAGCACCTGAAAGGAAACAGAATAATTTGTGTTATTCCAACTAAATCCTACAAAAGGCCCTCCAATGTCTCTCTCCTCCTAAATCCAAGAAATGTATTGCATCTTTTGCCAGTTACAATACTACCAGTTTACTTACAGCTTCCTAAAGTGAGGCCAGTGACTCTGAGGGTGGCAGAGGAAAGTTAGTAGGGAGAAAGACAGGTTACAATAAATGCAGTTTCTCAGATCTGGCTAAATGTGATAAATAGGATGGAAAAAGTAAGCACTCCGATTCTCACAGGGCAGGCACTGCAGAATTATATCTGTATATACTGCTCCATCCAACACTAAAATTTGGGATAAAGTATATTCAACATGAATAAAACATCCATTAGAAAATTCAGAAGAAAAACTGTTTTAAAGAGATTCTGTTCTTCAGACAATAGAAGAACTGACTTTCTTGATCATGAGAAAGGTCCAGCAAATACAACATTCTGTTACTACTACTGACATTCTGTTCTAAAAAAAAGCAAAGAGTGGGCACACAGGCTCCTTCATGACTAATATCAGTCAACAGCCTTATTCTTTGTCAGGTATTTATAAAATCTATGAAATATTAATCTTAAAAACACCATAATTTAGGATTTAATTTAAAATCCTGTGCAATTTAAATGGGTTTATTTCCACTTCTGCATTGACCTGTAAAAGACTTCACTGCATTCTTCTGCTACCATGTCTATTTAATTTTTTGAAATAACAATCCATATTGCATATTTATTCAGGAATAAGTTCAAATGCATTCAGTGAGACTTACTTGTAGATAAGTGCATTAGACTGCAGTTTTTTCTGCATCTATTCAGAATTACATCCTTTGCAAAGCGTTTAACTGATTTCACCACACTCATTCTCCCACTTGTCTTATGAAGAAGGTCCCACTGACTGTACCATTCTGCTATATATTTGGGTTGGGCCATTGACCACCCAACAAGATTTTGACATGGTAATTCAAAATGCAATCTCTCAGACACTAAGCCCTTCTTTATAGAGGAGAACACATAGTAGCTGGACACTGAGGCTGTGGAATATAAAGGAAAACCAAATGATGTTATATAAATTCTCAGAGATCAGCATTTATTAAGTCCAAATTTTGAGGCTGAACATGCATTTTGAAAGCTGCATCAGTCGGCGGTCTTCCACATATTATTCTAACTCATGGATTTATTTACCTATTTGGTTTTTTCCCCCCTTTCCCTGCTGCAATCAGACATGTTACAAGTTACAATAGCTAGGTTCATGTACAACAAAGCCAAAAAGCCCAGTCTGCCAATCACAGCGACTGGATTCTTACATCATATTAAGCTCCAAATGGCCACATTATGGTTTAACATGATACAGGAACCCAGTCACCATCACACATGATAGCAAGAGACTCAGAAGCCTGATAAACTTCAGCTCTCCAGAAATGACAGCCTTCTCACCATAAACATGTTAACCTTGAAAGAAGATGCTAGGCAAAGGGCTTGCTCCATGGAAATATAATTCCAAAGACTGGCTTATGTATAATGCTAAGCCATGAATGACTTAATCTGCTGGATTTTCCGTTCGTGAGTTCCAAGCCACGGTTTACACACTACAAACCGCATCAGGGCTTCGCATCGGGGCTTCCGTGGGTTGTACAAACCAGATCTTTAAAAGACCAAAACAGAGGAAGTAGCCTCCCGTCTCTTTAAAAAAACAAAGAGAAGAAAAATCGCCCCATAGGTCGAGTTGGGAGAAAGCATTCCTGCTGGTTTCCTGTCAGGGGGAAGGAAGCGAAAGACAGAAGCGCTATCCTAGAGGCCCATCCGACCCTCTTCTCACGACCACCGCCCCAATGAATGAGGCATCGAGCGGCAAATCCGCAATTCCCCCAAATCCTCTCGATTTACCCTTCGCATTTCCTCCCCAGTCCCCGGCAAACTCGCTCCCCTCCCTTCAACCAGACCAAGAAGCCGCGACAAACCAGGTTCCGCTCGTCCGCCACTAGGCCCGTCTCCGCAGCTGACTACCTCCGTCGAACCATAGAGTCAGACGGCTTCCAACCGGCTAGAAGGAAGGGGGCCTGAGACAACATCGCCGCACTAAGGAGCCATGGAAGAAACTCCGCGGGCCTAGAAAGGCAGCCAAAACAGGAAGTGACATTAAACACAGGAAATGTGGCAGCCAGTGGCGTCTATGTTGTCCCTGAACTGTACAGATAGGGGAAGAGAGAATACTTCTTAAAAAAAATCTAAATCATTTGTACATTTTTCAAGAAGAGCTTTTAGAATTAAAGGACCATATTTTGCTCCAGTTTATTCATTTACTACGGATTAATATTTACTAGCTCTTGTAGTACACTGAAACCTTAATTTGCTGTGAGACAGCCCTTGATTTTTTCCGGAGGGCGAAAGAGATGCTCATTTAAAAAAAAAAGTAAAACGGACTGGTTTTAATTTCCAATGTAAACCGACGATGATTTCGTCAGAACAGTGCATGGCTAATGCAATGTATTCAGATTTTCCCAGAAGTGCAGGCAGCGTGTCACTCTCTATTTCATGCATCTCTGGAATATTGCGGGAGTCTTAGCCGCAGCGGCGTCGCCTCCTATGGGGAGCTCTTAGCGTGGCGGGGATGACCTAGCGCTGAGTCAGCCTTACTCGTTTCCTACGTCCGTCACGTCCCCACCGTGCACTAATAAATAACCTACTTCTTTGCACCGTCATTTTCCAAGCCGAAGAAGGAGACAGAGAAAACTTAAGCCTCTGCTTGGTGCCCGATAGGAGAGTTCACTTAATGCCCCCCCCCCCGATGTTTTGGGATAGAATACCTAAACCCCCATGGGACAGATGTGAAATTCGAAACAGCTGGAGGACACCAAATAGTTGTAGCATACTGTCCAGAGTAGTAGAAGCAGGCTAATCTCGAAAATCTAAACATGATAGGATTTTCTTTTGGTTGGATGGGAGAGCATCAGGAAATCCCTGAGTTGTAACCTAGATGGGAAGTCGAAAAAACTTCCCAAAAGAAAAGCAGTGTCAGATAATTTAGTTGTTGCAAGTAAACAATGCGGACCTGTATGTGCAGTCACCAGGAGCATAGATGATTGTATTATTTATCAGTCTACTTTAAATACGGGCTTCTTTTTTAAGTAGGCATACATGGATTTGTACTGCTAACCAAATGACACTGTTCAGAAAATAATACTCGGGCATTTGTTCAACTACAAAATTTATAAGGATTCTTTGATTCTTATTTCAGGACTGTCTAGTGCCTAGAGTACCACTCCCAATGCTTCCCAAGAAGTGTTGTGCTGTGCAGAGACAAAAACAACAACATTGTTATCTGGAACACAGAACTCCTACTTTTAAATATCTAGTGCTGCCTTCCCCTGCCTGCTATCCTCCAGCTGCCTAGAGATGGATAGAATACATTTGGAAAGAATCCAACTGGAGAAGACTATCCTATGGTCTACCCATTGTATTTGTGAAAACAAACATGAAAAAACAGTCCTTCTCATTAGTTCTCCATATTTTTGTTTTCTGGCTTGTTTTCCCCATTCCAACTAGCCTCATGTCATCTTTCCATTATTAAGAGAAGCAAGGAAGCTTTGGAAAACATCTTGAGTTTCAAAAGATCTACACTCACCTTTTGCTAGCCATGCCCTATGATGAAACAAAGGAAAGAAGAAAAGGAGGAAGGAGGAAGAAGTTGCAAGTCAAGAGTACTAGAAATAATTTATTAGGGTGAATTGAACTGAATCATTCAAGACAGATGAATCAACCTCCTCAAGACAGAACAAAAACAAGCATGTGTGCTGACTGATTGGAGAAATGTGTTATTAAAAAGCAAGATTGTTTCAGCTGTACCCTCATGAGATGGATTCAGTTGCCCCCAGAGAAGAATTAATTAAAAAGGCAGTTTCTGTATCTGCAAACCTGGGCATGTTTTCTTGGAAGCAACAGTGACGTTTACCTTTGAATGAAGTTATGAGGGATCTGGCTGCCAGATTGGTGGCTTTTTAAATCTTTCTCTGAAAATCTTCAAGAAAGGTAAACAGTTGCTATTGGGATCTTGGGAAGTGTGCCCTCCTTTATGGAGGAGAATTATCTGTTTGAAAGCATCCTCTACTTAAAATGCTGTCTGATTTAAAAATAAAGCTTTGAAGTTGCCCTTCAACATTAGAACTTTCCTAAATGCTCTCAGCACCTGAAAATGGGACATAAACTGAATTGAGTAAGTAAAATAAAATAAACACATAT